CAGGCCACGCGCACTTCCATCAATTATTCACGAAACGAAACGTGCATCGAATGGTTGAGAGGAGGTGCTCGCCGTTATGCTATTAATGGTCGCAGAAGGAGCGCGACGAAGGAAAACTCGCTAAGACAAAAAGCTAAGGACACGTCGCTTATAAGCTGCGGTGCATACGCGGGACTATCGCGACTTACAAAGTCAAAGCAACGAGTGGGTCACCCGAATCCAATCTAAGATTTGGCTCGTCGCCTCGAGACCTCGCAAAGGTTAACGATCCTCCTCGCCCAGTCAAAAATTGGATGATCTAACCGCGCGACGCAACGCCCCGATACTTAAATGCGTTCCCAACGGCGATCACCTTGACTCGGTTTGTTCAAGTCCCCAGATCGAGATAAGCTCGAATTGGTTAACCTTTATTAATGCTTCGTCGTGGACCTTTGGCTTTCGGCTATCGTCTGTTAATAATAATGAAATCTCTTCTGGGTGCGCTGCGTTTACGCCACATCGTAATCCTACTTAAGGCACATAGAATTCTGCTAAGGGTTTGGCGAAAGAGGGATGGACGGAGGGGGGTAGGGGGTAACGGGTAGGGGGTATGGGGAGGGGAGGTCGAGAGTGTTTGGCTTGAGCAGAGAAATACGTAAATAAATCATTTTTAATGAAAAATGATATTCCGCAGTGTTGTTTACGAGGATATTGTTATGACCTCTCGCGTAAATACGTCTAAGGTCACAGCGTACGTGCAGTTTTGCATTGAACTGGAATCCAACTGTAAATTCTATTGTCTCATTCTCGAGGATGCTCGTAGTAAAAACTTGTAAAATTAGCATTGGTAAAATTGGAAAACGTAGATTCACTATTATTTTTAGAGATTAATTGCTTTGGGCTCGGATTTCTCAATATTTCAAGTGTAACGGTAGCGACGATTAATCGAACTTGATCAGATAGTGAGCGATTGCCATTGGGTGAAAATATTGAACAATGATAAAGCGCGACGATGAGCTGTATTATAAAAGTTGAGAAATTTTATTAGTTATATAATCTGATATGAAAATATCTCAGCGATACGAGCGATTAATTAACGATTAACGCGTAGAGTATATCGAGGCTTTTCGTTGCTTCGGAGAATGTTTAAGTTGGGTAGAGAAAACTTTCTTACGAACGAATCATCGATACATGTAAATTTAAATATATTCAAGCAAAAAGCAACGGAAATCTAATATTTCTATCATTAGATATTTGGAGAAAAATAAAAGCAACGATACAAATACCTTGTCATCTCTCAAGGACAGACAAAAAAAAAAAAAAAACGAAAAAAACGAAAAAAACAAATGTCATATTTTAAAAAGAGTTCCTTTTCAAAAGTAAATTTATCGGTATTAAATTTAAGCACATTTTATGTAACCACAACTAAACATTCTCGAATGTGAAAACCAGACGAGTTTTCGTACAAAATGTAGCGAGCTTAGTTTGGCAAGGTCAATTTGGAGGACACAACCAAAAATTTATACAGCCGGTATGTGAAAAAAATTTACAGCCTTCAACAGTCTTCAACCGCGTGCGTCGAGAAATTAAGGAGAAAAAAAATGCACGGGTCCATCGGATTTGGATATCGAGAAGAATTTATTTATTTACACGCGTGAAATTAGGAGAGAGAAAGAATAAGAACGCACCGCAGAGGAAATGGAATAGATTTTTATTTCCTCGGCTCCAGGAAGGAGCCCCCCCCCTCCCGCAGCCCCCACCCCCCGACCCTCCGCCCCACCCAACCCGATCGCGCTAATATCGATGATACTCGTGCGGAAAGTTTTGTACTGTCGCGCCAACGAGTGACCGCTACGTCAGCATCATCGGTTCATATGAGTTTATTTTCGAGGTGCGACCCATATTCTTTCTCATGCTCAGTCCCAAAGTTTCCCTCCAGCTTCCAAGCCAGGATGATGTCCGTTTGCGGACTCCATATCGCGATGCAATATCGCAAATGGTGAGTAACGCACCGACGCACGCTCACTCTCCCTCCCTCCCTCCTACCCGCAATCATCGTCTCTCTCACTCTCTCTCTCTCTCTCTCTCTCTCTCTCTCCAGGCAATACTTTTGATAAGCAATTAAAGCCCAATTGTCAATTTACGTCATCGGTACGCCGGGTCTTTTTCCCAGCATGACCGACATTTTTTTAGCGACCGCTGGGCGTTGCATTTAATTTTCATCGTTTTAAAGAGTGACACGAGATGATCGTACTTGGTATTGGAAAAATGTTTGTTTATTCCCTTGAAAAATAATAGAACTGTACGATAATGAATTTCAACATTGTGAGCTGCTGGTGTTCAACAATTAAAAACAAAACAAACAAAATGCACTCGCTTAATTTATACTATTTTTTTCTTTATCAAAGCTTATTATTCATTCAGCTGGCTATGTAATAAAAAAAATGAAGATTGAATTTTTCAGTGACCTTGGTGTGAAAAAGGTTGTTCTTAATTTTTAGATAATTCAATCTTGGGCATACAAATTAATTGTTCGGTTATAAATAGTTGGCATTACTATTGCATGGTAATAGATTTTAAAATAGTTCATGAAGAATCTGATGAAAATACATTGTTTCTTCAAGAGTTTGGTAAAGATGAGGGCAGGATTATTTGATAAACACTTCCAATAAGATAGCATTTTGTTGGATTTATTCTTGGCATTATAGCGTTACAATTTCAATACTATTTGTTGGAAAATTTATTTATAAATATTATTCAAGTTAATTAATAAAAATAGGACTTTCTTTTTAATAAATATCACAATTGTATATATTTAAAATCAATTCAGCCTCCCTCTCCCCGCCCCTCCAACCCATTAGCCTTAACCTATCACTGGATTAAAAATCCTTACATATGTATTGGAGTGAATGGTTTAGAAGTATTTTTCATTTTAAGCAATCAAACGATCATTTTATCGATGAATCAGAGTTAAAGTATACAAATGCTATAAATATTCGACTATGAGCCAGATAACTGTACTGCAAGGAATTTCATGTATTTGCAATGGAACAATAATTAAATGAGTCATAGTGTCGATAGACATCAACAATATCAAAATCTAGTTATCTAGTTATCAATAATTATTGTAAAACTATAATGAAGATAATTAGAAAATTTATCATCCATCAAAGCAGTCGTATAGAAATAAAGTATGAAACTTAAAAGTAGATTGAGTAATGATTAAATTGTTATTCTTGTTATGTTATTCTCCCAATACTTGAAACTGATTTGACTTTGAAATTGACATAATTTGGATAATTTCATTAATCAGTTGTTAGTTAGTCATGTAGGTAAAATGTTTTCAATTGACAAAGAAAAAGAGTGAAAGTCTGACCAATATATAGCCACATAGTTTGATATGAGTCATTGCTCAATTATTTTAGTCATAAAATCCGAAAATACAATTTGAAGGGTCGCTACGGGTGCCCAGGAGAGCCTTGAATTACTGCCAACAATTGGGAGGACGTCAAGCCGCATATTTGCATACACCAAGTGATAAGATTTTACAAAATAAGACAAAACCTTCCTAGTTCTCTATTTCTATTTCTCTTTCTGTAACACATGAATAACATAAAAGAATTTGATATAATAGTCAATTATTATAAAAGCACTGTATAAATTATTCGAGACTAACAATAAAGAACAAGTTTAAATGAAATTTTATCTCTTTGTTTGTCTACGGCAAATACAAAGAACATTTTTTTCTCGCATTAAAATAAAATATTACTTATCAGAATTGAATAAGCACAATTTTACTTTATCTAACAAAAACATTATCTACTGGTATCATAATGTATTAAAAAGCAGAATTTAGCCTATTAACAAATTTTAGTTTCTTTTCATTTCAAATTTAAATATAACAAAAAAAAAGAAACAAAAAAAATTCTAATATTCTAATAGTCACAAGTGACTCTTGAAGACAAGATTGTTTCTTATCTATTACATATATTAATAATGAATTTCAACTTTTGTATTCATATCTCTCAAACTAAATTCAATTTTAAAATGTAACTTAAAATAATTATACAACCGTTTCTCGTATATAGAGTTTACCAAACACTATTTTACAATATAACATAAATGTATATAAAGATCATGTTTTTAAAACGGGCCAATGATATCATTCGATAAAACTCTTTAACATCAGAAAAAGTTATACTGTTTTTCTTTTAAGTTAAACTGAAAAGCCATTATCTATTTACGGATCAATTTAATCTTACAAATTTGCGATAGAATATTTAACTTTGTTTTATAAAAGCAGAATTAAATTAGACATTAAAGCATTTTAAACATGGACTCTGTCAGTAGGTACGCACTCTTATAAGAAGTTAAAAAAAAAACTGGCTTAATTCTTAGTTGAAAGACAAACAATGAAACTCGTTATTTATTTATGTTTTTATATCTTATGGTGAAATTTTCTGCGAGCGAATAGCGTACGACTATTCAATGTAAATCAATAAAGAAAACCATCAAGAATTTTATAAGGCAGCTCGAGAAAAGTAATGAAAAATAATTCTTGGATGTTTGTATTACAAAGAAGCATGGAATATTAGTTATATCCTATGATTTTATACCAATGTATCATACAAAAGCTAATGTCGATACAATGTCACGCTACTAATAAACGGTTTGTGTCCATCTTGTATCTTGGAGCGATAGTCGGAAGTGAATTCTATAAACTACTATTTCATATACTACACAATGAGTAAATTTTGTTCACTAAGTAAACTTGATATCAACACTTGACAAGCGAATCGATAAGCATCGAGGCTGTAAATAATTCCTGCACTAGAAAATTAAAAATCAATATAAGTTAAGGACAATGGCAAGCCTTTCATCCTCAAAATAAGAAATATTAGCAATAACAGCTTGGATGGACCCTAACTGAATATTAAAACACATACACTGTACGTAGAACAGTTGTAAACACACGTTATGTTCTTCATTTCGCTCGCATTATAATGTTTCGTATCACTCACTTTTTTCTGCTGTTTCTCCCAGGCGGGGTCGAGGAGTCCCTCGCGCTCCCATTCCTCCTCAGGCTCCATGTAGCCGTCGCCGTAAGCCTCCGAGTCGTTCATCCTGCTGTATTTATCGTTTCACTCTCTTTCTCAATGTGCGCGCTCTAACGTTCCTCTATTTTTCCTCTCCTTTATTTTCTTTCCTCTCCTCCTCCTCCTCCTCCTTTTCCTCTTCTTTTTCACCCGGCTGTGCGCGTAGACTCGTTTTCGCTCGCTCGTTCGTTCCTTCAAATTGGAGAATAGAACACTTTTATCACATTGTTCGCGCGAGCACAATTTCTCTTTAAAAAAATTTCTCCCTATATCCTTTCTCTCTCTCTTCTTCAGCCCTGGCGTATATAACGCGACGCGCTCCGCGACTAAGCCGATGTTATTTATACGCGTATGCTCTCGCTTAATACTCCCTTTCACTAGTCACCGCGACCAAATGACCTAACCTTTCTTTCCTTTTTCTCTCTCCTACTCGCTCCTTATCGTTTTTCGCTTTAACGTTAAGGAGCGCCGAGCGAGAGCCGTTTAAAGCCGCGCCGCCTTGGATCGCGAGCTATACTATTTTTGCTCGTATTCTCTGGATTTCTTTACTCTATTACGCTTTTCACACTGTACACGAGAGTCTATGACGCGCAGTACAGAACGGCTCGGAGAACGACGACGTGTGGTAGGAAAAGGAGGAAGAGACAAGCGGCGTTAAACCGGAGCGCACGAGCGAGACAGACTATATACACGCCTGCGAGAGTCCGGTGCAGAAGGGCGGAATCCGACGAAGTCTGGAGACAAGGAAGATTCGAAGCAGTAAGAGAGAGAGAGAGAGAGAGAGAGAGAGAGAGAGAGAGATAGTAGTGAGGAAACGAATGAGAGTGAGTGAGTTAGTGAGTTAGTTAGTAAGAGAGAATGAGACTACGTATATGAGAGAGTGAGTGAGCGACCGAATAAGAGAGAGAGAGAGAGAGAGAGAGAGAGAGAGAGAGAGAGAGGACAACAACGCACCGAGAGTTTAGTATAGCGTTTGTATTCGCTTGCTCGGATGTGCGCATACGTATGGAAAAAAAAGTGTTTCGACGATCCTCTCGCACTCCTATACGTCCCTTTCTTCTTCTTCTTTTCTCTCGGCACACCGTTAACAACAAAAATTTAAACTACGACTCGCTTGCCGACCCCCTGACCGCCGTCTCTAATCTGCCTGCCACGAGTCTGACACACGATTCGCCGGTGTGTGCGGCGCGGACGCGCGCCGAGGCCCCCGACGTCTCTCCGGGCTCCCCTTCCCCGGCCCCTCCTTTCGCCCTTCTTCCACGCTCCCTCTCCACGACGCCTTTCTTACCCCACCAGCCCCTCTTGACGACCGGTCGACGACGACGACGACGACGACGACGACGGCGACGAGGACGACGACGACGGCGACGAGGACGACGATGACGACGACGCCACTCCTACACCTGGCTCTCCGCAATCTTGATGAGTGCGAGGAAGAAGACCAGAATCGGCAGTCCCCACCATTCGTTCTCTCGCCCCCTCTTTGTCACTCTCATTAATTCTCATTCGGGGATATCGTTTGAGAATGTTCGGGCATCCAGCCATGAGCAAATACGCCAAAAGCCTCGGTGTGGGGGACGCTCAAAACACTTCCTCGGAGTTGCTGTTACGGCTTTCTGCTCGTTGGGGATTTTTTGGGATGTTGAGTAATTGCTCCAAATGGAATCAGACTTACGTTTCCAGTTGACAACTAAGTGCCCCTTGGAGAAACGCAAAGGTATAAATATAAGCGAATGATTCCTGTTGTCGCTACTACTTCCCCGATGTGCTGTCATCAACGAGTTATTTAAAATACTTGGTACAGGGAATTGATGTTACGCTGTTTTTATGGAAAATAAGATTCTATAAGAAAATAAATTATAGGCTATTATAACGTTTAAGCTTAATACACTATTGCGCAAGCATCGATGCGTATTAAAGTTTTATTTTATTTTATAAAAAAAAAAAAAAAAAAAAAAAAAAAAAAAAATCCTTACACGAAATATCAATAATTAATGAAAGAATTTCCTTTTAATGCACATTTCCTTGTACGTTTTTTTTTATGCTATCACTTTGTCTGCGAACATACCGCGTCGCTTTTTTAATAATAGATTTGCTTACAATTACAACTACCAACTACCAGTGATACGTGTTAATCAAATGTACTAATTGTTAATGTTCTTTGACAATATCACTTGTGTATTGAAAAGAAAAATTTTGTCTTTAAAAATGAATTTTGTAGCGAGAGTAAAGTGCGAATATATAATATAGTCTAATAACCGATGATTAATTAATAAATTTTTAATGTATTTGATATTAGGCTGATCGAAGTCGGTGTTAATGCAGATGTATAGAAACGAAACATAATCATCGAGACGGACTTTGGTCAATAATTTCATGATTGCAATCGATTAGATAACAAACCCTCGTTATTTTTATAATAGTACCTAATGATAGTTTAGTTTATTAAGTCTCGCGAGTATGAATATTTATATATAAAATATATCAAAAAGTATTTATCTATCTGAATAATGATCTCAGATTTGCATCAAATATTATAATCAACATAACATTACATTATCGATTAACGATCGAGCCTTCAATACTAAACGAAAACCACCAAAGCAAAACAAAAAAATAATAACGAAAAATAAAATTATAAAATTATTTTAATTTTAGAAAAGTTAATACAATCTTTAATATAAAACAGCGATGATTTTAAAGTATTTTTACAATATTATACCCATTGTAATAATAAAGCGTAGGAAAACTATTACCATTTAAAATAGTTTTTTCCCTTGCTCAAGATGATAAATTCTACGCAAGTTACCTATAATTATGATTAGATAATTATTGGACATAAAGTATTATACGCTTTTAAATATAAAACGGGAACAATAAAAATAAAAAAAAAAAAAAAAAAAAAAAAAAAAAAAAATGAATTTACTATAAATAAATACTTTAATTAAAAGTTATGTTTGAGAAAAACGATTCAAAATTAAATAGGCGTTTGGGCTGACTAAAATACATGGTAAACACAGTGGTAAAACAAAAAACAAAACAAAAAAAAAAGAGACAGTTGAATATATCAAGTGCGTAAGCAACAAAATACATATTTGAATATTTAAGTTCTTGTTTGTTCTTTAAATTTTATAATAATAGCTTAACCTTTATCTTCGTACTTATAAATGTAAGTTCATAAATTTATCGTGTGATAAGAAAAATCTTTATTTGTTATCATAATATTTCTCTGTTACACTTGGTTGGATAACATTCAGCATTTATTACATATAAATTTCATGGTTTTCGGTATACTTTAAAGTAACAATAAAATAATAAATTGTTCTTGAAGCCGTAAATTTTAAAATAAAAACAAAATTGTTTAATTGCCTATTAATGTTGTTATTTAAAATTAATATTTTTATTAAAGTATTTCTTTTTCTATTAATTTAGTTACAAATATAATTTTGAAATTATGTTTAAAGATGAATATTTATAAATATTTTATATTTAAACTATTTTATAATTTTAATAATGAATTCTTACACATAGCCCGGGGGTTGGGTGTTGGGAGTTGGGCGGGTGGGGGGGGGGGCAACAGTGAGAAAAATAATTGTGATAATAAAAATCCACAATAATATCTACGTTCGATTTATCTATCTTTGAATTTAAAAGCATAAAGATATATTTCAAATCATGAGATAGATCAAATTTTCGAATTAATTACAAACATTAACAATATATTTCTAAGTCTTGAAATTTTATAACGAACATGTACGTACGTCTACTGTAAGCTTATTCTGTTACAATTTATACAAGTACTAGTACAAGTACTAGTAATAGCATAATATTTACTATTGTATTATATAAATTATAGCTAATAACGCGGCTTTGGTTTTTATTTCTCAGCGTCGAACATACATGCAAAATTAATCTTTATATTTGAAAAGACTAAGAAGTGTTAACTATGCTTCCAGAGCAATCAAATTGTATTTTATAATATTAGACTGGTTTTGTTATAAATTAATTTCAAAATGTACTCTATTAAGACGTTAAAATTCTAAATTATCATTTTGAATTCATTTAAAATATAATATAAACAATCATTTAAACATTTTAATACCAATTTTAATACCAATAAAATATATTTCATACTTATGCTTTTTTTTTTTATAGAGAGTATTGAAATATTTTATAAGAAATTATTTTATTTTGTAAGAATTTTATCTGGAATATTTAGTGAGAAAAAATTGTGTTACGCAGAACAGTACTATTAACGTATTTAATTATTACATATTAAATTATCAAAATTTGAAAAAATCAAAATGTTTTCGTTAGGATATGTATTAATTCCCTCTATTTTTTTTTTCTATTTTTTTTTATTTTTTATATAAATCATATTAAACAAAAATATTAATTCATAATAACGGCTATGTAATATTTGGCTGTACTATTTTAAAAGTTCTATTATTGTATTAACAAAAAAAAAAAAAAAAATCAAATTTCATTAATCGAATAGTTTCAATCAAATAAAAAAAAATCAAACTACTAAATATCGGATTTTTTTACTTTAAATAAAATAAAGTATTTCATTATCATTTGTGACAGATGAGGTTAGTAATTTTTATGAAATCGTCCTCATCGTCTTTGAAAATGCTATTTTGAGAAAAATTCGTTTATATTTCTCATAACTGTTTAGATTTAAATCATAATATATGTTTTGAGATTTAATATGTTAAGGAGAATTATTCTAGTTATTTGTAATTTCAGATATTTATAGGTAAAGTAACATAAGCCGAGATAATTAATTTTTAAAATATTGTATATAGACACGTTAATTAGCGATTGAAGCATTCGTTCATCTATTCGTAAAACAATTACTTTTACACGTATTTATACGGTCATACGTAATTATAATTCATCTGATTTACTTGAATATACTTGAT